AAATAAATACTAGGGAAAGAAAACTGAATATGTGGGTTAAAGCATGAACCCCACTGTAAAAGAGAATCATTGTTTCGCCTCCATTTTGTGCCGTTTACCAACAAATGTCCCCTTTTATAGCTTCAGATCCTGCTGTCAATTCATGACAGAGAGTTTTAATGACAATTAGATTAAAACTTCAGTAGTGGATCACTTTCAGGCACAAAAACCCACTCTTGCATTACAGGGGGGGGGGGGGTTACCTTGGTTGGTGATTGGCTAATGGTTACACAAGCCAAAACATCGTTATGACATCATAAAGTGGCCAAAATCTGATCAGCTCATTTTCAGACAGGTTTTTATATAAATGGATCAGGACAAAAAGAGAGAGAATCTTTGTTCCTGAAACTTTCAGAGTCTCTTTCCACAGAGGGGACACATGTTGATGTAGAAGAGACATGAAGAAGAGGGGACACATGTTGATGAAGAAGAGACATGAAGAAGAGGGGGACACATGTTGATGTAGAAGAGACATGAAGAAGAGGGGACACATGTTGATGTAGAAGAGACATGAAGAAGAGGGGACACATGTTGATGTAGAAGAGACATGAAGAAGAGGGGACACATGTTGATGTAGAAGAGACATGAAGAAGAGGGGACACATGTTGATGTAGAAGAGACATGAAGAAGAGGGGACACATGCTGATGTAGAAGAGACATGAAGAAGAGGGGACACATGTTGATGTAGAAGAGACATGGAGAAGAGGGGACACATGTTGATGTAGAAGAGACATGAAGAAGAGGGGACACATGTTGATGTAGAAGAGACATGAAGAAGAGGGGACACATGTTGATGTAGAAGAGACATGAAGAAGAGGGGACACATGTTGATGTAGAAGAGACATGAAGAAGAGGGGACACATGTTGATGTAGAAGAGACATGAAGAGGGGACACATGTTGATGTAGAAGAGACATGGAGAAGAGGGGACACATGTTGATGTAGAAGAGACATGAAGAAGAGGGGACACATGTTGATGTAGAAGAGACATGAAGAAGAGGGGACACATGTTGATGTAGAAGAGACATGAAGAAGAGGGGACACATGTTGATGTAGAAGAGACATGAAGAGGGGACACATGTTGATGTAGAAGAGACATGAAGAAGAGGGGACACATGTTGATGTAGAAGAGACATGAAGAAGAGGGGACACATGTTGATGTAGAAGAGACATGAAGAAGAGGGGACACATGTTGATGTAGAAGAGACATGAAGAAGAGGGGACACATGTTGATGTAGAAGAGACATGAAGAAGTGGATTTTGCATGATAGGTGACCTTTAACGTACTTCAATGATGCAAGTTATCGTAAAAGAAAACTCAGCACCCGTAATTGAACTGGCATGGTCCCTTCTCTTTGTTCGGAAACACTCAGTTCCTGCCAACACAGACACTGCCTGAGCAGCAGAAGAGCTTTTGGAGGAACAGGGTGAACGTGATGAATGGGCAGCAGACAGTATATCTGATGAAAGTGCAGATCAGTGTGTATCAGTATCAGTGAGGAGCCCGTAGAGCAGCGGACAGTCCTGGGAGAGAGCGAGGTTTAATCGAGAAGACAAGCTGCCACGATGCTCTGCCTTTTCCAAAGTGTGACTTCACACTGAGTCTAAATGTCACAGAGTGGGAAGTGAAAGGCTGTTTAGATCACTGTCACATTGAGGATCGGTAAAAGGGCGAAATATGCTCGATAAACAACTCTGAAGAAAAACAAAAAACACTTGTTAGTAAAGTCAGTGGCTGTTTCATAGAAATGTGTATTTTACTGACACTGAAGACGCTTGAGATGTGTTTTTGTTTGTTTATTGCATCTTAGTTGGTGAAAAACCATGAAGGACTTAAGCTGACATTATAGTTAATAAATAAATAAACTCAGAAAAATTAATAAATTGGGAAATAAACTGGATTATTTTAGTTTTTATTCATTCTTTATTATCATAATTACATGCTCATTTATTTGATAATCAAGGCTTTGATTTCTACATTTCCCTAATGAATTATTTCAGTTATTGTTCATACTTATTATGGGTTGTTCATTTCTTATAATGGCAGCTTAAAGGTGGGGTATGTAATTTTGGAGAAACCAGCTCGAGTGCGCTAGAATTTGAAAATACACAACCAGAAAAAATCTGCGCCTTCCTTACAGAGCCCCTCCTCCAACACACACGAACGCGCACATGACCAATGAGGGCACGAGATAAGTTTGTGCACAGATGGAAGGCTGACAGGCAGGTAGGCCATCCAGTTATTTTAGCCGGGCCGGCTCAGATGATTGGTCGTGCTTTTTACAGCGCCACTGCTTCCACAGATGTATTTATTTAATGTATTTATTGTCAAAGCATTTAATATATTCATTGCTATCGGGATGTTAAGAGCAGGGGCGGACTGGCCATCGGGACGTTCGGGACGAATCCCGATGGGCCGGTACTGAAGTGGGCCGGTCGGATAAGTCACTAGCAGCCCCCCCCCCCCCCCCCCCCCGTCGACAAATTTCCTCGCGGTATTGACTTGCGGCACCGAGGTGGGCCGCTCGGATAACTCCTCCTGATTGGTGGAGTTGGCCCAATAGCTGTAGCGCCACCGTCCTGACGTCAGGACAGTGTTCAAATCTGGATCAGTTTTTATCAGATCCGTTGCAGCCCCTTTTTTAGAGATTTGGGTATGGAGGAAAATAGAGAGGGTTGTGTTTTCTGACACTTGGTGAGTTCCCTGGAACACCGGGGACACATATTCATGTATAAAAGACGTACAAAAGTGCACTTTGCATGATAGGTCCCCTTTAAGTAATCCTTTAAAAATAGCAATCTTCACATTTCTAATTACATTTAGACCACAGCTATGACGTGCAGTTTTATGAATGGATAGATCCCTCAAACTAAGCGCTCAGTACAAACTGATGAATGATGTATGTTTCAAATGATAATGTTGATAATGAATAATGAGATGTACAGTAAAGAAGTGGACGACTAGTGATTACGTCATATCTTTCGCATTGATTTTATTCAAATGACTGGATAAAAAGTGACTTTTCGAGCTGCATGAGTTTCTTACCTAAACGCTGCTGTGACCAAATGGAGGCGTTCAGAAGCTTCTGCATAACAATTTCCCCAAAATGAGTGATTTTCCAGCAGCGGTGTCACCTGTGATTGATTGTTTTTCGCTTCAAAACCCGGCTAATGGCCATTCTGCTCAGCGATCTTTAGCATGTGTTGCATTTGGGGAAATGTCAGCGAATATGCAATGAATCAGAGGTTTTACACAAGTGGTGATTTCTCTGAGGGGACCGGCTGGAAAATAACAAAAATCCATCATAACAGTTCGGTTTTTTTTTTTACTCGTGGAACAAAAACAACCTCCGGAGGAAGTGCTTTTTTTATTTTGAACGAACAAAACCCTTTAATGTTTTTGGTGATGAGAACAGAAAGGGAAGAGACCGGGGACAATTACTGTTTTATTGATCAAAAGCTGATGAAAAAGGAATCTTCTCTTACTCCCTGCAGAACATGCCTTTAATTCTCTTCGCTCTCAAACGGTTTTGGTTAACACTCCTTCACTTTAAAGTGCAATATCTAACAACTTGGCCTCTTACACCTGGCCCTTTTGATGTGTAATTGATACTTGATGTTGCATATTTTACGCTGCACTCCTAACCTTCATCTTCCCCCTCAGGAGGAGCGTTGCCTTGCATTTTCACTACTTCATAATTGGTGTAGTGGTGGGAAACGTATTCAGATCCTTCTCTTAAAGAGGCCCTTTTGGGGTTATCCCTCTCCTGTTGTGTGTTATATACGTTTGTGTGCATGTAAATGGTCTTTAAAGGCTCAAATCCAAACGATAGGGAGTTTCCCTCCCACGCTCCATGCTTTATTATTACATGTATGCTTTGTTGTAATTGAAATGACTTCTGCATTAATATATGTGTTGCATTTTAGTGCTGTAGATGTTTAAGGTGCTGTTTACACGAGAACGCAAACGGTTGTATCTGCTACTTTTCTCTCGCGTTCGTTCACACAAGGCCGTAACGGAAACGCGGAAACGGACCCCGCAAACGATAACGGGTCCCAAGGTGGATAGATCTGCAACCGGAACGCTCTGGGGGGCCAAACGGCTCCGTGTGTACGCCCTATACGATCATTTCCTGATAGCGATGAAGCCATAGCCCCGCCTCTCTCCACCTCTGCTGCTCACTGCTGTAGCATGGTACATGGTAGCATGCTACAGCTCGACCATGCTACAGATGTTAGTGCAAAATCTACAGCTCCTCTACCACAACCATCAGCAACAAGTGGACATGGAGAATTACATGAACTACATGTTGCTAAATCCACCGCGGAGAATAAACAGAAGGGCAACCATGGCAACCATGCTCGGGGGTGTTCTTCGCTGCTTTTGGTGTATTTTGTGGCGAAAGTACAGCGCCACTTACAGGCCCGGCATATGTACTACAGCGTCTCCAGCGCTCCCGAGCGGTCTCGTGTGAACGGAAGACTTTTTTGATATCGTGTTCGTTTGCGTTTCGTTTGCGTGTAAATGGGGTCTAAAGCTTACTGTTTCACTTATTTTAACGCCCTAACATAATGTTGAATAGTAATCGTTGTTGCTTATCTGTTGAAAACACATTTCTCTATTCAGAAATAAACCCCTGTGATGATGCATTTTCCAGCATATCTAGGAGGATTGTTCAGTGTTTATTTAGCTTAAGAAGTACACATACAGGCCAATATATTCTCTGGTTCTTCATAAACATTCAATATCAACACGTTTGAAGACACATGGTTTCAATGTTGTCCTCTGAAAAGTAACCAAAGCTTAGGGAAGTCAACTAAATGTACCTCAAAGTTGTACTTAAGGAGTTACACATCACCACTTCCCTTGTATTTACCTCAGAGTTCAGATCTAATATGGTGTTCAGAGGATCTTCGGTGCAGAATATTTACGTCTGTTTTTGTATTTTTTGTGTAACTCAGGCTGGAGGGAACGGAGGATAAGTTCAGGAACAGAGAGAGTCGTCATGAAGATCTGCAAGTCATCGCTGAGCTGAAGGACATGGTGTCAGAGAGGGAATCCCTCGTCAAGAAACTGGTGGTAGGTAACTGCTGACCAGGTAATACATGTGTGTGATAAATACCATAAACTGAGACACTACTGTGAATAGGGTAAAGATTGTATCTAATTGATATTATGATGTAACTTCCCCACTAACTTACATACAGATAGTTTTCTTGTATTCAAGTTATACTGAAATGTTATGTTTAAATATGCAAATGAGGCATTCTCTTATTAATCTGTGCCAATTTGCATATATTTTGCATTACAGAAATCTGAACATTGGATAAAGCCAGGTTCAAAGGTTGTGTTTCTTTTTCTTGACATGTTAAAATTAAAGGTTTTTAAAGTGTATATATTTTGGATATATCTTTGTGTCAGTCTATACATCGTAAAATACTGTCAAAAGCCAAAAAGAAAAAACTATTTCACCTTGTATTCAGTAAAATAATGATATCAATCAGGCTGTATATGAACAAGCCCATTTGTAACAAAGCTTCAGAGTATTGTTATTTATATATACTCATGTTGAGAAAACGTCCTTTAAAGATATGTATTGTATAATCACATACATTTCGCAAGACACTACAGGGTTAAAATTGGACTAATCAATATCACCTTCAAACTTCCCCAGTTGATAACAGACATTAAGAAAATCATGTGTTTGTATGTTTGCATAAAATCACTGAAATGTGATGTTTAAATAAGTAAAAAGAGGCATTATCTAAAGCAGCGGTTCCCAACCTTTTTCAGCTCAGGGCCCACTTAAGAATCTAAAAAATGTCCGTGGCCCACATTCAACCCAAGTGGCAAACTCTGGGGCAGAGCCCGGAGGCCAATAAGGAAGTGCCTCAAACTGCAGTTCATCTAGTGGCCAGTAGGAGCAGTCTGCAGAAGTGAGCAATGTCCATAGACCCCCATGTTAAAATGTCCAACTTTACAGCAGAAATAAATATGTTTACATCGTGGTTCAAAAAACCATATTCTCTGTATAGTTAGATTCCCCCTTCATGACTACTGTGTGGGGGGTGAATTGTTTTATAACGCAACCCTTTTAGTTATATTAGGTCTTAACGTTTTTGCATAAATTAGGGCATGGTCACCTTGAGTGGCAGGTCTCTGCAGTGAGTGCTACTTCTAGCTTTCTGTCTCTCTGCTAGTAGCTCCGTTAGCTCAGTAAGCTCCAGGATGCTACAGGGGCTCAACTGCTCGGCTGATCCCGGGAACACAACTTGAACCCGGACTTGTTTGTTGTGTTGGTGCCTGGTGGAGTATTCTTCATTTAAATATCGGACTTATCTTATGGCTTTTGGAGGTTCCGCCTCTTTGCCCTAAATTTGGATCAGGCTGGAGCAGGCGGGAGTTAGACTCTGACGTCACTGTCGAGCCGTTAGTGGCCGACACAAGCTTACTTTAGGCTTCTCTGCAACTCTGCAGAATCCTATGGGTGACGTCACGGACACTACGTCCATTTATATATACAGTCTATGATTCAACCATAAACAATACGGAGGCTAAATAATGTGACACGTTGTTAATCCAGTTTAACAGACTGCTGTCAATGACTGTAATGACCGTTGCTAAGGAGTATCAAGAAAGAGAAAGCAAAAGAGGTTCAAATAAAAATCTTAATAATGAAATGTTTCCACACAAATCATAATATTTTGCAAATTATTTGGCGGCCCACTTGCAATGCCTTCACGGACCACTAGGGGGCCGCGGCCCACAGGTTGGGAACCGCTTATCTAAAGCATACTTTCAGTGAGTTCAGGAGAAACCACACATATCCAGATGGAAATAAAAATGGTGAATTTAGGATGTTTTTTTTCCCACAAATCTGAAACCTTGTTATTTAAACAAAAAAAGCCCAAACTTTTAAAATTGACCAGAGCATGAAAACATGTTTTTGCCTGCAGGGTCTCCTGGTTCTTTCTTACTTTCAGGTGCAGTGGCATGGGATTTTGTTTTTGTTTTTGACAGTTTGGAGTCCTCTGAGTCTCCCTTCAGATAACATGTTGTTGTTTATTTCTCCTCCAGGACGATAAGAAGTACTACCAGCTGGAACTCGTCAACAGGGAGACAAACTTCAACAAAGTGTTCAACGCCAGTCCCAACGTAGGAGTGATCAACCCGCTCATTAAGGTAGGCGCTGACTCTGAGACTCGCCACACACAGGGAGGAGCCTTTTTACCGCAAAGATGATATCCACTGCATCCCATCTCACCTCCATCACTGCTGAGCCCTCTCAGGAACAATCAGTACTGACGGTCACTGAGGTACTGTTGCTTTGGAACAACCATAAGTCATGAGCACGCTACTTTTCAAATGTTATTGCAATTTCCTGTAATGAATCGGACCGTTTTGAGGTCAGACTGAGCAGGAAGTAGATGCAAAACAACACATAAATGGAAATTGTTTTACAGTAAAAGACACATTTATGATGTTGCAGTGAAAACAGCAAACATTTTCAGAGTTTACAGCAAATGGCAGATTGTGAAATAGGCGAGGAAATTACAAAAGTGTATTCCTTTAGCGCAAAAAGAGCAAAGGAAACAGCACCGTTACAGGACATTTGTTTCAGCTCTACTGGTATAAAAAAGAGGCTAACTGTAGTAAAAACCGAGGTCTCATTTCTTCACAGCAATTAAACCAAGTTAAAGTGATTTAAATTCAATGCAGCTCCAAATATATAAAACTACATTCACTAGGAAACTGCTCAAAGTGATCATAGTGCTTAAGGTGATTATTTCGTAATTCCTCGTGTAGATTTCCACCTAATTGACATTTTTATGTTCATTCAGGGTTTTTTCGCGGAAAGGCTTCAAATGTTAGACTTCAAGTAGACTACAATACAGAGTGCTGTGAAAAACATGTAAAAAGGTTGGCTAACTTATACAATTACCAAATTATTAATAGCTATGTTCTAAAACAGTATTAATGGGATACTTAGCAACAGCTTGGCGGTGTTTTCAGTGGATTTCTACATGTTTTTAAATAAACTGTCAACGTCTAGGAGAAATGTAATCATAAAATGTATTGTTTTTCAATGTTATTCTTTATTTAAAGGCTTAATGAACGCTGCATTTGTGCACCATAAAAATAGAATAGAATGGGAGGGATGAAACCCCCTTTAATGGTCTCACATGCAGAGCACACAGTGACATGTGTTCTCTGCTTTTAACCCATCCTAGCACCAGGAGTTTAGTACCAGGAGTCTAGTACTAGGAGAAGTGGGCAGCTATTGTACAGCGCCCGGGGAGCAATGGGAGTGGGGGGGGTGGGGGGGTGTCCGGTGCCTTGCTCAAGGGCACCACGGCAGGGCAGGAGGTGAACTGGGACCTCTCCAAGTAGCAGTCCACACTCCATATTTAGGTCTGGTCTAGGTCTAAGCTTACCTTAACCAGCATGTGTATAGTATGGATTTTCTCTGCAGCGTTTTTACCTATAACTGTGATCACTTTATGCAATTTCCTATGTATTTATGTTCGTTTAAGTGGAATGGAAGTGATTGAAAATGACCAAATCTGTTATAAAATGGTGTGCTCATGCAGAATGAGAATATGTTGCCGGCAAGCAAACAAAAAGTGAATCTTCCCAGTATGTTTGAGTCGAATGGTCCCGCTGCATGATCAGTATAAATGTGTTGACCCCACCCCTCAGGTTCTATATGCTCCAGTATTTATGTTTCCCTGTTACATGTGTTTCTCCCACATGTGTGTATACGTGTCGTTTGTTCACCGTGTGCCGCTCTGACTTTTATCTCCAGCTCTCCTTTGCTTTCCAAGCCATTTTGTTAGTGTGAGATGTTTTCTGCTTCTGACACATCTCTCCTCATCTGAACCTCCATTCTGCTGCGAGCTGCTTTCAGACTGAGCCATGTCCGTCTTCAGATTCTCTCTGCTTTCGATAAATAGGATCCAGTTAGCACGCTGCTGGATGATACGACCTCTAGCACTCCATTTCCCCCCCCCCCCCCCCCCCCCCCCCCCCTTTTCCCCTCCATTTCTCCTTATAGTCTACTTGCCAGCAGGGTGAACCTGGAAATGTTGAGTACCACATAGTTTTATGTTAGAAATGTGTAGTACGGATCCCCAACACATAGAAACTGCACGATGCTCACAGGCAATTCGCACAATTAGCAAACGTTTCATTAATCAGCATTAATTAGCCTATGCAGACAATAGCAAAATAATGGCTTGAAGGATTTGGATAATTTTGGTGTTGTTTTGGAGGTTATTGAAGATGCTGAATACATTTCTGACATTATCAGGATAGTAAATGGCGGTTTTGGTTCCCCGAAACTTTAAAAAGGACCCGAAATTCCTCAAATTCAGCCCACCAGGAGTACAAATACGGCCACTTTCTGGTTAAAACTGCCATTTCTAAACCTGAAAGTGTCAGAAATGGATCCAACATCCTCATTAACTTACACAACCACTCCAAATGTGTCCACGATGACCAAGCCATTTTTAAGCTATTGTTTGCAATTGCTAATTAACGCAACTTGTGCTATTTGTGCAAATCGCCCAACATATAATAATAACAATAATGCATTTTATTTACAGTATAGAGGGCTTTTTTCTAGAAACTCAAAGACACTTTAGAGAGTAACAATTCATAGTTAAAACAACACACTTTAAATATATAAAACACAACATTGATTATAAGCCGTTCTGAAGAGGCAAGTGAGCATCCTATAGAGCCGTACTATACATTTCTATCATGACACTTTGTGGAACTCAACATTTCCTTGTTCACACTAGCACTCTATGATCTGGCAAACGGACTATAACCTTTTATTATTATTATTATTTCCTTTTCAAACTTCCCTTTTTTGACCCCCGTGCCCCTCCTTTTTTCTTTTTTTTGTCTGTGTAGCAAAAGAAAAAGAATGAAAAGGCGGCAGGCAGCAGATTCAGCAGCTCTCCTAGTGTCAGGGCTCTGGAGGCGGCGGGTTCAGGAAGTGGGCCGCAGCCCCCTCATCCTCCGCCTCCCCCCCCAGCCCAGCCCGGCCGCCTAGAGCCCCTCCCCAACTCCCCCCTCCACCACCTTGAACTCAACTCCAACAAACCTCTTCCCCCGCCGACCCCTCCCACCGAACCCAAGAAATTCATGAGGTGAGACCCTCCACCATCCAATCACAGACCTCCGTTTAACTGTAGATGTAAAAGATTAAAGTTCACCTATTATGCTAAATCCACTTTTTCATGTCTCTTATACATCACCATGTGTCCCCTCTGTGTAAAGACACTCTGAAAGCTTCAGGAACAAAGACCCCCTCTCTTTTTGTCCTGATCCATTTTTATATAAAAACCTGTCTGAAAATGAGCTGATCAGATTTTGGCCACTTTGTGATGTCATAATGATGTTTTGGCTTGTGTAACCATTAGCCAATCAGCAACCAAGGTAACCCCCCCCCCCCCACCTTATCACCTGAATCTCCTCCTAGAGCACCATTGTGTTCTTTTAAACCAAATATCTCTCAGAGGGGCGTGGGGAGGGGCTCCTTATTTTCATCTAAAGTAACAGACAGAGAATCAGCACTTTTGAAACAGGGCTGAAACAGAGGGGATTATGGGTAATGCTGCAATGATCTGTTTGGTGTTTGGAGCCAAACACTTCAGAGACATGTTCTGTATATATCTGAGACCTATAATATATTGATGAAAAACAGCAAAATAGGGGACCTTTAACTCACTTTAAATGAGTCTGGGTCTGACTTTGAATGTAAAAACTGTACTTTGGGCCTTTTGTGCCTCAGATTTGAAGAAAAAACCACCAGATCTTTGTTGTTTCTGATTAAAAAAAGAAACAGTGGGACAATATCTGGAGGTTTACATTTTCATTCCTTCCTGCCATAAACCATAAGGAGCATGAAGTCATTGTCATCTCGAGCGGCAGAGAGTAAAACCGAAGCGCTAATGTGTTTAAACTGACCGACCGCTAATCGCTAGCTCCTTCATTTGTAATGCTACGCCTGTGTAGCTTTCTGCTCCTGTAGAAGTTGAACTACACCGCAAACGATGGCAGATATTCTTTCTCAAATGATCAGTTATAGTAATATTGATTTGAGTCAGAAGTAGAAAGACAAAACCCTTCAACATCCGGGTTAAAACTGATGCTAATTAAACCAAGGCAAGTATTTTTATATATCGCACATTTTCATAAACTCAGAGGCAACTCAAGGAGCTTTGCATATTGATGTGTAAAAACACATGTAGGAGAAATACAAATATTTTTGATAAATAAGTAACGGACCCATGTAGCAAGAATAAAGGGTCTTAAAGAACACAGAAAAAGACAGAGAGGAACGATGCCAAATACAGAAGCAGAAGAAGCGTAACGTCAGCCTTGACTCTGATATGGTAGCATTAAGAGAAATACTACTCAGTGGATTCAATAGTCATGAACAAGGTTTTTTTTATGTACATTTTAACCCCAAGTAAAAATGTAGCTTTTAATGTCTCGAGGGCTTTACTTTGAAGGTGGTTAGCTGGACATGCTAACATTAGCACAGCTTAAAACCTGTCAAGCCCCAAAGACCCCGCCGGCGGGGCTTTTTTAATTTTTTTCACGACACTGTGTCTCAGGGCTTCTTAATATTTAAAAAACTATGAATGTGTCATACCCTCCTAACGGGAAGAAACTCAGTTAACTGATGATACGAACTATTTTTACCGAAACAAAACACAAGTCTCACAAGAAGGGTCTAAATTAGCCCTGAGCGAAAACATGCTAACGCACTTAGCACAAAACAGTAGGTATAAATCGATCGATATACTTATTGGATCTGCACAAACAAGCTTAGCTAACATGCTGAGATTCCACAGATTATAGAAATATAAGTATCATCACTGAGCGATCAGAACTCGCGACAGGGGAAGCAAATACAGACTTCACACGACGTAGCTTTAGCAAAACACGGAGATATGCTAACCTTAGCTGTTATTCTGATCAAAAGTTGTTTTTATGGACGGACACAATAATTTACATTTTTTTACTATGTTCAATCTGAATTTACTTTAAAATAAAAAAAAACTATATTGATTCTGCCTCTTCTACATCCAAATCACAGGTTTATCATTCCTTTGAGAAAAAAGATTATTAATTTACCCCTTTTAGAAGTGTAGTTATAGTCATTTGTTCTGGGAATGTCATTTTCGAGCCTGAGACCTGGACAACAGGCTCGGGGCTCAACAGCTTAAAGCAGAAAGGAGTTAATACAAAGAAACCAAACTTTTAAATATTGAGTATTATGACTTTTCTCACATATCCTTTTTCAGTGTTTCGTAGCCACTTAGCTTGACGTTTGCTATTGAAGCAGAGTGAAGCAGACTAGTGACCGACTGAAACTCTTTTCAGATTAAAGGACACTACTGAGAGACATCACAGCATCACAGGTCTTGACTAAAAGAGATAAAATGCTCATTATCCTCAGACATTAACACAAGAGTCCCGACGAAGCTTCAGAGATGGCCTTGGAATGCAAAAGGGGCATGTTGTTATTATTATTTAGATTTTGTTTTGATTTGTATTTGTGTCCTCTCCAGTCCGTCATGTTTCCGTGTGCATGCTGCAGGTTTCCCTCTTCTGTTCAGGAAGTTATCAAACTTGCTGTAAATATCTGTGTGGCTTTTTTACGTTGTGCATTGTGTCTTCATCCTCTCATCTTCATCGGAATTTCAGCATGTGCGGCACTTTTTCTCTTCAACTGGAAATGGGATTTTTTTCAAAATAAATAATATATGAAGTAGATATTGTCTCTTGCTATCATGGACTGTCCCCTCTGTGTGTGGTGGTGTTTTATTTTGAAAAGCAGCTTTTACTTCTCGACTCTTTGGTCCATAAATGCTTCTCTTGTTGCTTAATGGTGTGTGTGTGTGTGTGTGTGTGTGTGTGTGTTAGATGTGTGTGTGTGTGTGTGTGTGTGTGTGTGTGTGTGTGTTAGATTGTGTGTGTGTGTGTTAGATTGTGTGTGTGTGTGTGTTAGATTGTGTGTGTGTGTGTGTTAGATTGTGTGTGTGTTAGATTGTGTGTGTGTGTGAGAGAGAGATTGTGTGTGTGAGAGAGAGATGTGTGTGTGTGTGTGTGTGTGTGTGTGTGTGTGTGTGTGTGTGTGTGTGTGTGTGTGTGTGTGTGTGTGTGTGTGTGTGTGGTGTGGTGATGTGTGTGTGTTGTCGGTGTGGTGCGTGTGTGTGTGTGTGTGTGTGTGTGTGTGTGTGTGTGTGTGTGTGTGTGTGTGTGTGTGTGTGTGTGTGATTGTGTGTGTGTGTGATTGTGTGTGTGAGAGAGAGATTGTGTGTGTGAGATTGTGTGTGTGAGAGTGTGTGTGTGTGTGTGTGTGTGATTGTGTGTGTGATTGTGTGTGTGTGTGAGAGAGAGATTGTGTGTGTGTGTGTGTGTGTGTGTGTGTGTGTGTGGATGTGTGTGTGTGTGAGAGAGAGATTGTGTGTGTGTGTGTGTGTGTGTGTGATGTGGTGTGGTGTGTGTTGTGTGTATGATGATGTGTGTGTGTGTGTGTGTGTGTGTGTGATGTGGTGATGTGATTGTGGTGTGTGTGTGCGAGAGAGTAGTGTGTGTGTGGGTGTGCTGAGGAGATGTGTGTTGTGTGAGGAGAGTGTGTGTGTGTGTGTCGAGAGATGTGTGTGTGCGAGAGAGATTGTGTGTGTGCGATAGTGTGTGTGTGTGTGTTGTGTGTGTGTGTGTGTGTGCGATGTGTTGTGTGTGTGTATGAGATTGATGATTGTGTGTGTGGTGTGCTGTGATGATGTGTTTTGTGAGATTGTGCTTGTTTGGTGTGTGTGAGATATTGTGTTGTGGTGTGTGTGGTGTGTGTGTGTGTGTGTGTGTGTGTGTGTGTGTGTTGTGTGTGTGTGTGTGGTGTGTGGTGTGTGTGTGTGTGTGTGGTGTGGTGTGTGTGTGTGTGTGTGTGTGTGTGCTGTGGTGTGTGGTGTGTGTGTGTGGTGGTGTGTGTGTGGTGTGTGTGTGTGTGAGCATGTTTTGGTTATTTTGAATCTTTCTTGCTGCATGTTTGAGCTGCTGTTTATGTAAAGTATGAGATGTGGTGGCTGCTACGCAAAAGCTTTGGGACTAACCTGTTATTATGGGAAGGCAGGAGCAACACACACACACACACACACACACACACACACACACACACACACAGACCATGACAGTATGAGGTCAGATATTATAGATGTGCTCTGAAATGTTTTCAGACTCCATTAAACGATGTGTCTCTCGCTCCATGCACACTCTTTGTTCCTGACAAACATTTGGAGTCAGACTGACTGAACCTCTGAGCAGCCGTTTGTCAATCTGAGCCCTTTGAACCACCGGGTCCTTGAAGTGTTTATTAAAGTATTCATATCTTCATAACTTTTATTAGACAACACACGTTATCTAAGTCAAATGTTAACATGAGTCCCAACAGGAATACTAAATAGTGAGCCAGAGACATTAGTCATTAGAATAGTCCTTCCCAACTGCAGCTGAGCAGGGTTATTGTTGTATACTTAAACTACAAATTAAAGATTTGTTTTAGTTTAAAAAACTTGTTTGAAACTCAAAATAAAAACGATATTGTTTTAGAAAAATAAGATGATTTAATATTGACCGGTTAATGTTTCTTTTAACTTTTTTTTAGATAAAATACATCTCTACCAAAATAAAAGTGACAGCATGAATTGCAGTCATCTCTCGTGACACTGAACAATAGGAATTGAAATGGCTTCACTTTAGACTCTAAAGCAGGGGGGTCAAACTCAAGGCCCGGGGGCCAAATCCGGCCCGCAACTTCATTTCATGTGGCCCCATAAGAGCTTGCAAAGAATATAATATGTTTATTATACAGTTACATGCTACTTTACAGAAGCACGTTGCCCATAAACTACATGTCCCACAATGCATCTCAAATTTGACTTTTTTTCTCAGAATTTGACTTTTTATTTTATTTTTATTTTTTAAATCATTTTATGACATTCTCACTGAAGAGACTTGCAATTATTTGCCCTAGACTTCTGCTTTCAGACGTAGTTAATTATGAACCCTATGTGATAATAATCCAATGCAGAGGCAATCATGTAATATAATACATTATTTTATATATATTAAATATTTATATATGTATTTTTATATAGTCTTAAAGTTACAACCGGCCCTTTGAGTGCAACCATAATGCTGATGTGGCCCGTGATGAAATTGAGTTTGACACCCCTGCTCTAAAGTAATGTGAAGGTTAAACATGTATTTTGTATATATATATATATATATATATATATATATATAATAATATATATAACCTGCTTCTTTAATTATAGACATGATAGCTGAAAAAAGAAAATGAAACTTACCTAAATCAAATTCTCTTTGAAAAGTAATATCAAATTGAAATGTCAAAACTAAAATAAAATCCTCTGAGCTGCTAATGAACCTTCTTCCCTTCACTCTGACAGAAGCAGTGCACTTGTTCCTGATACATGTAAAACACAGCAACCTTTCTCCATTTTACATTCAGATTCTCTTTTATCAAAAGACAACAAAGAACATTTGAATGCTGAAAGTGCACACAAACAAACATGGTTCCTTTGCTGATCATGATGGGACTGTTGGGCCACACAAACATTTTAAAGGATAGTAATGTGCTTTTGATTGTTTTTGTTTTTAAATGAAGGATTTAGCTGCCGTCACATCCTCACCTCCTCTCCTCTGATGTTGTCCTTCCTCCTTCTCTCTTATCTTCTTCCTGTGATCTTCATTTATCATTTCATCCTCTGCCAATCTCTTTTATCATGTCCTCTCCGTCACATTTCCCCCCCTGTATCCTTCAAACCAACCAACATCAAAACATCACTGCTGCCATTTCCATTCACTTCATCTCTTCTCTCATTGCACGTCATCATAATCTCTATATGTGTACATAAACAAATTTTAAAAATCATATTTGATGGATGAATATTATTTTTACTACAACTTAACGCACATACACAGTGAATAGGACACTTTTATTCTTCAGATTATTATTATGTTATACTGTAGACATCTTGGTGTTTCCTGTATTTTCTGTATATTCATATTCTTTTAATATATGAACACTTGTCATGGCCCTACTCCCCCTCATGGATCAATAAGGAGTCATGTTATCTTGCTCATGGCGTGTTTCCACTACACGGCCTCGCTCGGCCCCGCTCGGTATGGCTAGGCCTCGTTAGGACTGGCTCACTTTATGGCGCATTTCCATTACAGTTTAGGAACTGGGGCAGTATCTATAGTAACGCAGTGTAGGCGGAGCCGTGACGTGATCTTCAGAGAACCCCAGAAAAACAACACAGCCGTTAGCTGTTAGCCCTCAGAGCTCACAGCTCCTCATATATGTTCAGAAACTAGACAAAAGTTAAACAAGTACAAACCACAGACTGCCTGTGTCATGGTGAATACAGTCGCTGCTTTATTTATGTCTGTATAGGCCGTTGTTGTGAGTGTGGACGGTCGGAGCACATACTGCGTTAGCTTAGCCAATCTCCATTCAGAAAACACGCATTTTAAAAGGTTTTTCCCCTGCCGTCTGTCTGCAGACTTGACAAAGCATTAATTCATGGTTTTTACTAACCGGTATCAGTATGTTGTTACTTCGGCATCATTTTGAAACGTGTATTACAATTAAATCACGGTCAAATATGTCCATCTTGTTGTAGTTGTAGCCCCCTTGCCAGCGATGCTCTCTCTAGTTTAGCATACTCAGCCCGACTCAGCCTGGTTGTCTCTGGCCCGCGATTTTATGAGGCCAGAAAAACTGTGAATTAGGACCCGCCGGCCGGTACTAGGCCAAGTGGAAACGCAACCAAAGACGGGCCGCTGACGTCACAGCCCTCTTAAACCGTGCTCCGCGCTGTAGTGGAAACGTGCCATTAGACACTCAGATGTTATCCATTTAGCATGAAGTTGCATTAAAAGACAGAAAAAAATGATCATAATCACATATTATCACAAGGTAGATTCCACTCATGCTTCTTCATGGTGGATAGAAAGCTGCAGGTTTGACTTAATATAAGGAATCTCGTGTGCAAATTAATATTTTATGGATTAAAACCAGAATCCTCTGAGTCTGAATTATGGCCATGCACTGTGCAAACACGCTTTATCATGCAGGGAAGCCTTTCCCAAAGTAATTGACTCCTTCAAGCATGGAAACAACATAAACAAAAAAGAGACCCCCCGCCCTCCCCTGCCCCTCCTAAAAATGATATATCGCCCGGGGGTTATGGGACTGTTTGTAAAAAGGAGAAGCCAATTAAGGAAGCAGAGGAAGGTGTTTGTTTTGATAGATGCAAACACTCAGCCTCATTAGCTCCAAACTTTTAAGGAACAACATGTTTTCCCCGAGGAGCGAACAGGAAGTAGCTGCAGATGCACTCGGTCGCACCGCCAATGATCGACATTTTACCGTCAAAAGATATATAGTTTAGTGGAAAGTATCTTTGCATGTGAGACAGTATCTGATTGCACAGGGCTGAAATCATGCTACGTCATTTATTATAGGCCCATTACATGCTAACAGTGACACATGTATTCTGATATTCTTTAACAGTGAAGCACAAAACATGCACTCAAAAATATTGAAGTAACCGTTACATAATGTATTAACCGTGAAAGTACTCAATATATAAAAAGAAAATGTCCCCTGTGACAGATTGACTATAATATCATAATTGTTGTATTTATTTGATTTTATTGTTTTAATCCAGGGGTGTCAAACTCAAATACACAGTGGGCCAAAATAAAATTATCTGTACTAGTCGAGGGCCGGACTGGTTCAATGTTTATTGCAAAACTTATTGAAATGAACTTATTGCACATATTAAACCTGGAACTAACAAAGCTTAAATGATTGCCTATAAAAACAACATTAAACATTAAATAATCAGTTGCATTCATTTCTTATGGCTCTATCTGCAGCTTTTCCAGAGTCATTTCTTATGATTACATTTTTCCACAGGCCAACAACAGCTTCAAAAAAATTATTCCCCTCAAAGAGAAAACCAATCATGCCCTGTTGTCGTGAGAGAAAAAGTGCAGAAGGAAACATCCATGTAAACTCAGTGTGCTGCTCTGTGATGCTAGTTCAAGCCAGATACTTGGCATCTCATCTTGGGTGCAAGTTCATCAATGTTTGGGGTCAGGCTCTGAGCTGAGGAGACCCTCAGGATTGAGTGAAGGTGCAATATACCGGCGGGCCAGATCTAATAGTAATTAGAAATTATCCTGCGGACCGAAATTAAATCCACCAAAGGCCTGATTTGGCCCCCGGGCCTTGAGTTTGATACATGTGGTTTAAATGATAGACAGTATAAGTGCATACTTTATACAATTTGTAGCAAATATATAATTTGTACACAGCCCATACAAGCTGAGCTCACAAATACTGACAATGGCTCTGCTGCCCCCTTGTGGACAGACACCTTCACACAGATCTTAACAATCTTACATTTATTTTCTTCATGATGGTATTGCAGTACTGTGTTTGTGGGTACATCCATATAGCAAACTATTTCAATTCTGTGATTAATACTTTTTTAGATAATATGTCACCAAAGAATATGCACAACTATTTTAATGATGTATTGCATTTATAGACACAAAGACTACTGGGTTGATAGATAATGTGCTAGTTCTGCATCATATCATGCCCTTTCTTTTATGTTAAAAGGCTGTAACTTATGTAAGTAAGGCTTGTGGACACATGTAGCAGAGTACAAATACGCAATATTTCCCTTAGAGATTTAGCGGAGAATAAGTATACAGTCTCAGAAAATAGAAATATTTGAGTGAAGTACAAGTACCTCAAAATCGTACTGAAGGCAAATTTATTTAGACGGCTTATTTCAACACAAAGCAATTCAAAACGCTTTACAAAAACAATAACAGTATTAAGATATAGTGCACAGAAACACAAAGGGCATTTAAAATGACTTATTGAGTATGTACTTGGTTACTTCGCATCACTTGTAGCCAATACTAATTGAACAATTTACTCAAATAGGTAAGGTAATAGTTTTATCAACACGATGTTCTTATTTATCAGTGTTTTCAATGTGTTGTTCTCTGCTGAAACGTCCTCTGGCTCCTTCCCTGACTTCTCTTCTTCTGTCTTTACTTCCTGTTGTTGTTGTTGTGGTGGGGATGTTTATTTCCTGAAGCCCTCCTGAAACGAAGGACTCAGCCATCGAGTCCCCGGACGCCCAGCGCCAGGAGTGGTTCGCTCAGTACTTCTCCTTCTGATCGACCACCAACCCGCAACACACAAGGATTCAGCATGTCAACCAAACTTTGAGAAAAATGTACAGGTCAACCAAACTTTGAGAAAAATGTACAGAAAAACAAGCGAAGAAGAAGAAGAAGAAGAAGAAGAAGAAAAAAAAGCGAAAAATGTTAAAACTATTTGTTCTTTATTGTCATGGAGAGATTTGGGGATCAATTCACTTTAACTTCAGCCAATTAGGACTTCATTCTCATTCATTTGCTAAAAGAAACAATGTAATTATCATCCACTTCCTGTTGACTGAAGTAGAAGTAAAGAGACCATCAAATCCCATCACTCTGATCTCATTTGATTGTTTAATTATTGATTGTTTCACTGTGGGCGAGTTTTTCTCTTAGTACAGTGACAATGATCATCCGTATGTTTGATGTTTTATTTTTTACTTTCTTTAACTTCCTAACTTATTTTGCAGTTTCTCGGAACTAGAAAAAAAAAATGCGTGGTGCATTATCATGCTGCTAATTGCCATTGTTGGACTACAGTGAGAAATAAATATATATAAAGAAACATATGGTAGGTTATTGTGCTCTCTCTGTACGTGGGCCCACTGCATACAGCATCTTAGAATTATAGGAGGTGTTTACGGAGACATTTACCTGGACCTGGGTCTCTGATATCGCTCCATGAATACAGGAAACTCTTTAGGACGGCACCATCCAGTTTGTTACAGCTGCATAGAAGTTTCAGCAGATTTTGGTAGAATATTAAAAACCTGTTTGTATGGTTGTCTGTCTCAACACAGATATAATGATGTCTCACCAATTTTAAAAACAAAAATAGCATATTTTATATTTATATTATAATGTGTATGCTTAATAAATAATTATTGTGACATTTACTTTGGTTTGTTCGTCATTTATTTGATTTAATTGTGGTTTACATTTCATTTAACGTAATGGAAATACAGGGTTTTGAAGTACGAAAAATAAGTATACAAGGGAATATAATAAAAATTATATATGTATCTGTATATATATTATGTTTAAAAATCATATAGAAATGTATGTTCATTCATGAAAGAGCTATATAAGAATATTACAAAAATAAATACAAAAATGTAATATACACAGTAAGCTTTATTGTGTTGTATTAGCACTATCACTATTTTTATATCTTAGATTGTATATTTTATTTGCACTAGGACCTCAATCTGTTTATATATAAGTGCTCTTATATTCCTAAATCTTGATGCCATTTTTTGCTTAAAAGTGCTACATAAAAAAAACTAATAATTATAATAATTCCTTAAGGCCTTCGGTAATATAAATGGATTCTAAACTGGTACCAGAGGCAGACTGTATATTTTACAATCACGTTTTAAAAGTAACCAGTAGAGTGCAGTGCCGTTTTAATATCGTTTAATCCCAACCTCCACATTGGGTGAACCGGAAAATAAACAGACCCTGAATCGGTTCCTGTGCAAGCTAAAAACACATTTGACAGGAAGTAAAACATTGATTTATTCACCTGCAGCACTGCAAATAAATCCCACGTTTTCATGATCTGAAGCCCAGTTGTGGATGTTAAAGAAGCCTCACTAACTAACTGCTACTGTCAATCTCCACAACATTGGGTGAACCGGAAAATAAACAGACCCTGATTCGGTTCCTGTGCACGCTTAAAAACAAAACAAACATGGCTGCTACAGGAGCCGGTTCTCCGGGGAGGCTGGTCCAGTATGTGGTCGTCCGGTCGGACCTGGTGCACCAGCTGTCCTGGCCCCTGGGAGCCGTGATTACCCAGGCCTGCCACGCCGCTACGGCCGCCATACACCTCCACTACCGGGACCCGGAGACCCAGCAGTACCTGGAGGAGCTGGACTCCATGCACAAGGTGGTGCTGGGGGTAAGCACGCCGAACTACATTCATATGTTGGTGAATTTAATGTGTACAGTGGTTATATGATTCATCACAAAATATGTTATGATCAGTTCAATAGTGTTTGTTAGTTGTGTTATTCGGCAACATTAATTTAACTATAAAGTGAAACTAAGTTTGGTTAAAAGTGTTCAAGGTGGTGCTAGTGGTAAGCACACCGAACTCCATTCATATGTGGGTGAATTTAGTGCGTACAGTGATTATATGGTTCATCACAAAATATGTTATGATACATTCAATAGTGTTTGGTTAGTTGTGCTATTCGGCAACATTAATTTAACTATAAAGGGAAACTCATTTGACTTAAAAGTGTTATTTAGACCAGTTTGAACGAGCTACACAGCAATATTCTAGTGTTCTATCTATGTTAGTGTGTACAGTGGTGGTTATATCGTTCCTCACAAAACATCCAATAGCACATTATAATCTAGTGTGGTTCATTGTTTTATTCGGCAATATTCAATTTACTATATAGTGTTTATTTTTGACCGATTTGAACGAGCTACAAAAAAAGAAAAATGTCCACAATTATTTTTCTTCCACTATTTGTAGGCCTAACTGGTTATTGTTTATATATATATATATATATATATTTATGTTGCATTGTTGAAGGAGACTAGGACTTCATATTTGTATTGCCATAACTACACTGTAGTGCCCATATGACACGTGCAAAAAGTGGTGCTGGGGTCAAGCACGCCAAACTCCATTCATATTTTGTCACTTTAATGTGTACAGCGGTTATATCGTTCATCATCAAATATCTAATACCAAATATAAATCTGGTTTGATTGGTTGTATTATTCGGCAATATACATTTTACCATAAAGTGCATTTTTTACCGGTTTATACGAGCTATACTACTACTGGCCATCTAAAACACGTGCAAAAAAGTGTATAAACACCAGATGAAGATGACGATTCTACTATTAAAAAGTCATTTCTGATGTGTAAGAGATGTGCCGAATTTAAAACCAACTCCTGAAGAATATAATAAGCTATTGGGTTGTTTTATAGATAGTGTACATGTGTGCTAATGAGCAAAGACATTTTAAAATGACAGAATGTCCGATGTAGTATGGTATTTTTCTGAATGAAATTTCTCCATGCAAGATTTATGTCCTGCAATGTAAGAGTATGTCTAAGTAAGTAACTAAGTAGGCTAATTGTAAAATGGTGTGCATTATACCATTAAACAAATGAATTTCCCCTTGTGGAATTAACAAAGTGTCTTACTATTTTCCTAAAAAGATCCCACCATCCAAATAGGCAAATTTGGCTGCATTTCACTATTATGCAACTCAATAGTTACTTAAATAAAGACAATGTTTAGATTTCTTTTTTGCATTCATAGGTTTTAATGTCAAGCGCAACACATGGTTTTGACAGGATAACAAATATGGATTTATTCACCTGCAGCACTGCAATAAAACCCTAAGTATTCATGATCTGAAGCCTCACTAACTGTAACTGTGTGTGATTGTTTTTCTCCAGGCTCCAGACGAGGCAGCGCTCTCTAATCTATCAGAGACTCTAACAAAGGCCGGTGTGGCCCACAAACTGTGGATCGAACAACCAGAGAACATCCCCACGTGCCTGGCTCTGAAGCCGTGTGCCAAAGAGACCGTCCAGCCGCTGCTGCGCAAGTTCAAACTCTTCAAATGACGGCCTTTAAAGACATTGTCCCGCTACGCTCTACAATGCATATCAGGATCTAATTTCATCTGAAAAAGGAAAACATCTGTGCTCTTTTCCTCGGTGCATCCAAACATCTGTAATGTTGAAGATTAAAGTGGGGAAAATATGAAGTTCTTTTCTGGATTATTTTGTTCGGATGAAAACCCTCAGAAGTAGCATTACTTCTGCAGTATTTACATTGCAACTTAATTTAGAGAGATACAACAATTCCATGTTTTTACACAGTGCACTGCATACAGTTTGTGGACCTGCATTACCTCCAATCCCTCCTTTTTGATCATTGCTCAAATGCAATAATCTTGAAAACAGTCTTGGTTGTGTTGTAAAAAAAAAATACAATCTTACTTAGTTTTTTAGTTTTAGTTAAGGGAAGAAACTATAAGGTCACTCTAAGGAACAGTAAGGACTTGATCTCAAATATTTGAAGACCATACCATAATCATTTGAAAGTAGCTGCATTAAGTCGTCTATTTTGTTAGAGTCCTGACATACTTACATTTACAAAAAAACAGACTATAATGCTTTCGAGGTGTGTGTTAAAGGTCCCATGTCATTGCCATTTCTACTGATCATATTTCCATTGTTGAGGTCTACTAGAATAGATTTAAATTGTGCAATTTTCCAAACTCACATTGGTTTCTCATACAGCATCTCTGTATAGTATGTGTATTCACCAGGTATTCACTCTCTGTCCTAAACGGCTTGTTAGAGCTCCTGCCCCCCCTCCCTGTGAGCCCAGTGTGCTCTGATTGGTCGGGACGTTGCGAGGCTCGTTGCTGCGAGGAGCGGACAGGTTTCCGGGTCGGCGATACAGCGAGAACAAGCGAAACTCATCCTGAGCACACACAAACACTCACAGCCGAAGTAAAAACAATAAGTGTGGCTTGATATTGAGTAAGAAAAAGGTTTATAACGCTGTGAGAATGGGTCTGCGGAGAGCATTTCTCCGCCATCCCAACTCGTCTATTGCCAGCGTTCAGGGAGCTCTATGCAAGTCAATGGGGACTCCCTGTTATGGCGCATTTCCACTACAGCGCGGAGCTCGCTTTAAGCGTGCCGTGTCGTGCCGTGCCTGTTTTTGGTTGCGCTTCCACTAGGCCTAGTTACGGCCCGGCCTGGGGCCACTTTTTCACCTCTTTTCTGGCCCGACAAAATTGTGGTTCTATCGGGGCCAACAAACAGGGCTGAGTCGGGCTGAGTTTGCTAAACTAGAGAGAGGAGCGCTGGCAAGGGGGCTACAACTACAACAAGATGGACATATTTGACCGTGATTTAATTGTAATACACGTTTCAAAATGATGCCGAAGTAACAACAGACTGATACCGGTTAGTAAAAACCATGAATTAATGCTTTGACAAGTCTGCAGACAGACGGCAGGGGAAAAACCTTTTAAAATGCGTGTTTTTCTAGATGGAGATTGGCTAAGCTAACGCAGTATATGCTCCGACCGTCCACACTCACAACAACGGCCTATACAGACATAAATAAAGCAGCGACTGTATTCACCATGACAC